CATACCGGCGCAGCGCGAGCTCCAGCTCCCGCACGTGTATATTGTACTTTGTATGGAGAAGGTACATGACAACACCCGTGATACTGAGACGGTACAGGAGCTTGAGCCACACGAACGTTGGCAAGAGCACCGTCGGCGCGTACAAATGGGTGATTGTGATCGTTTCGTTGGCATCGGTGCCACCAACGTCGTCGCCGATCGTCACCCAGACGCACGCGTGACCGTTGAGCTGCGAGACCAGCTTGTCATAAAAGCACGCGCCATGAAGATGCCATTGCGTCATGTTGGTCGATGCCGCGCAGTTGCAGACGATGGAGCGGACCGGAGGGCTGAAAAACATCACCCCCGGAATGCCCGTCATGACCTCGCCCATGCAGTCGGGCTCTGGCACCCTTCGGGATCGAGAGATGACGTGGCGGAACACGTGGCTGTTTTGGGTGACATCAAAGGTGTACGTGTTGTGGGCCGGCAGCGTCCTTCGGTTGTACCGACTTTGGCTCTCGGTGAGCGTTGACGTGTTAAAATCCGAGTAGTTGGCGAAGACGGCCGCGGGGGAGGACGGCGGGGACCACGGAAAAGCCTCCGAGATGTACGCCTTGAGAGACTAGACGCAGATCGTCGCAATCAGTCGCTGTCAAGGGAGGTGAGCGGGAAGACCATGGAGAGGAGATTGAGAATAAGAATGAAGCGCACAGCGTGGCTGGGTCTGTCGCGGCGCACGACGTACGGAGTCGGTGCCTCGGGTGCTGAAAGGGCGCCAACCTTGGCCGACACCATGGACAAGTGGCGTCCAAATATAGCACCTTAATAAGAACTCATTTGCAAGTGGGCTTTCACCATGGCGAGGAGCTTGACGGCCCTGTATCGCGACGCTCGAGTAATCGCGACGTACGGTGAACGGGCCGTCGTGCCACGGCCCCTCGCGACGGTCCGCGCGGGACGGCCACGACATTGACTATCACGGACGCACCGGTTGTTGGCTCGAAAGGCAATCTGAGATCGACGTTTGATTGGTGAAATGTTTCTTCCCGACGTCTGATTGGCCGAAATGGATCTACAACCAATGCCATCGATAAACGCTGCAGCCGTGTACTAGTAAATGGATTTGGCTTTTGCAGTCGCCAGGCTGTGCACTGCGTAGGTACGTGTAGGCGACGATGACACTCTATCACGACAATCCACTGAAAACGATCCTCTGGATTAGCGCAGAAATCGGCCAAGAATGTGCCACGACGGTGCGCGGAAGAGCAAGGGTGCGTTTTCTGCCTTGGCTGTCGCCGCATGGGCCGCCAACGCCGCGACAGAGAAAGCTTTTTCGTCCACGAGATCGACGAGGCGCACGCCAAAACGCCGCGCGACACGGGAAGCTGACGCATTCGGGTTGCCAAAGACGATGCCGACGTCGGCTGCGAGCAGTGCGAGGAGGTCGTTGACGCCGTCGCCAATGTAGACGATGCTCGCGTTGTCTTGCAGCGTGGTCACGCGTTGCGCCTTCTGAAACGGCGACTGCATGCGCAAGGCGAGGTCGCCGGTGGAGATGCCATTGTCACCAAACACCAAGTCTACCATCGTGCATCATAAAGTAAGTACACGTCGCGGGGCGAAGAAGACGGACGGTAGTACCGTTGGCATAGATGGCGGCAACGGGGATGTCGCCCATGGATGCAGCCAGCCAGTCGCATGACCAGTTGCTTGAGACGAGCGCAAGCGGCATGGAAAGCTGTGAGAGAACCGAGGCGGCGTCGGGCTGGAGCGTCACGAGTGACGTGGCGCCGTCAGCAATCGCAGCATGCGAGAGACCGGCCAAGACTCTGCTGGCAACCACGCGGTCAATCGACGACTTGTCCACAGCGCTGAACGTTCGCAAGAAGGTCGCCAAGCCGCTATGATCGTAGGCCACGGACGGCGACGTGCGTGGAATCGAGGCCATCGCTGGCGTGTACTCGTCCATATATTGCTGGCTGAGCTGGGACCACATAGCCGACGACGCGCCGCGAGCCGCGCACGCCAGGAGCGCAAGGTCTTGGATCGTGTCCTTCGCGCTGATGGTGTCATCAAAGTCGGCGCAGAGCAGCCACGGTCGTCGCGTCGCGTGGCTGCCCATCGACCGTGCTGCCATCCGGTGCAGCATGCCCGAAAAAGACAGGCCGCATGGATTCCGAAAAGGGGGTCGTCACACGCACTCCTCGATGAAACGGTCAACATGCCACTGCGCTTGCACTGTTCGTTGAAATGGACATATATCCAGCGGGTATACGTCTCAGTGCCAGGTACTAGCAGTATTGTATGTACACGAGAGCGTGAAAGAGGAGTTGCATCCATGGGATGTGGTGCTCTCACATGACTCCAATGTGGCGCGTGGTATCATTATCACAAAAGGTGGTGCGGATGCAATCCCATTTTCATGACTGTGAAAGCGCCGCGTGCTCTAATCAGGACTTGTCCGAAATCCGTTTTTGAAACGCGGACATTGACCGGGCATTACGCCATCATGCAGCTGTCCGAGGTGAGCGAGCTACGGGGCCTCATCAGCCTCCTGCGCCTCAACGCATGCAACAGCCCGCGCTTCCACGACCGACAGGACTCGGAGGTCGACCGCATCTTCAACTCGTCGCCCAAGGTCGCGTCCTTTGAGATGCGCTCGTCGTGGATGGAGCGGCAGTCGATCCAAGCGGCGCTGCCGACGCCGACCTCGACGAACGGCGCCGCGCCGCAGTCGTCGCCGCCGCCGCACCCGCCAAAGCTCAAGACCACAATCTCCGAGAAGCGCCCGCCGAACGGCGGCAACAACCCGCCAGGGAAGCCGCGCGTCGTTGTCTTCGACAAGAAGAAGAGCAAGCGGGGCGACTCGGACGACGACAGCGACGAGGTCCGCCTCTCTCTACCTCGCGACCTCTTGACGCAATCGAACGATAGGAGTCGTTTACGTTCGAGCGCGAGCCCGTCGAGTCGCTTCCGTCGGCGGCGACGACGGCGCTGGACGCTGCACTCAAGGGCAGCTCGGGCATGCCACCGGGCCTTGCCGGCACCAAGGCAGCGATTGACTCGCCCGTGCTCTACCTCAAGATCTACCTCCCCAACCGCCAAGAGATGAACCTCGAGGTGCTGCGACGTCGAATACCGCGTCTGATTCGTGTCTAGCTCTACGAAATCTCGACCGTCGAGGAGTCGATCCAGGCCATTCTAAGCACGCACCGTAAAGAGGCGCGGCAGCCGCCGCTCTACTATGGCCACCCCGAGTGCTACGACCTTCGTTTGCACGACATGGACGGGTACCCGGACGAAGACTGTCCGGCGCTGGATCGCTCCCGCAAGATCAAGAATTTCGGCGACAACGGCGACCACGAGTTCTGCCTCTGCGAGCGCCCCGACGCGTGTCCGCCCAGCGAGCACAGCCCAGGTATCCTCATCATCTATCAATCTATCAATCGATCAAGATGGCTTCTTTGCCCATGCGCAGATACGTACCGACAAGGGTCGACGAGCGGTCTCCAGATCAGTTCGCAAGACAACTCGCTCTCGATCCACCGGCGGTTTGGCGGCGCGAGCGACAAGGCGATTCTCAAAATCTTCATGTTTTTGATTTTCATTCTCACGTCGAACCGAGCATTATTGATATGGCGCTGATTTAGGCCCAACGACAATTACACCGTCGTCGCGCTCAAGGACGACATGTGTGGAAAGGACTTGCTGCCCGTGCTCGCGAGGCGCCACCGGCTCCCCGTCCTCGACGAGTATGTGCTCAAGGTCAACGACGCCGAGAAGATCCGTCTGGACCTTGTTTCGGACGAAATCGACCTCGACCGACCGCTCAAGCCGCTCGGGCTCCAAGAAGTCACGCTGGCACGCAGTACGTAGCGCTGCATCCTCTCACTACGGGCGCACATAAGGGTGTAGAGGTGTACGCTGACGCTCCCAAAGTCTCTGCCCACGTCGCGCCGACCTCGGACGCAACCGGTGCGCCATGTCATCATCTCGGATCCGATGGCTCATGGCACATGTAGAGGTCGATGAAAACCCCGCGGAAGCGCTCAAGAACGTGCGCCCGGACCCGTCGACGTTCATGTACAACGACGTCAAGGCAGCCATGTACAAGGAGTGGAAAGTGGTCAAAACCAACAAGTTCCGCAAGCGGCAGCACCGCATGTTTGGCGTCGACTTGCACAAGGTTTACAACAAAAAGGTCGGCGAGCGTGCGATGATTTCGCGCACCAACATCAAAGTGGTATGGAGAATATTGTCATATTGTCATATCTTGTATGATGATGATGATGATGTAGTCGGAGCGTCCCATCTCGAGCATCACGTGGCTGCGCTTTCTCGCCGACCCGTGCGACTTTCAGATCCACTTCAGCCAGCCGGAAGAGGAGACGATCGACTACTCGGCCGAGTCGGCGTACGAGTGCGGTACGGTGCTCAAAATGATGACGCCATGGTCTCATCGCGTCTTGCCTAGCCGAAATCGTCGCCAAGCTCATGTACATCCGCGACATCAACAAACGCAAGTAATCACCTCGTGTCAACGCATCTCACCATCCTGTCGGTGTGGACAAGTTGTCTCTAGTATTTTGTTGCGTATGCTATAGAATGTCTCCAGCGTGATTGCCAATGGGTGCGTGATGGCAGACGTCGGCGCTCCACCAGCAGCGCAGGGCTGTGGTATCGCCATCGTCACATCCTGGCTTGTCGTAGACGCACGCACACAGCATCGTCGGCCCCTGTGCTGCCGATCCGTCGCCGCCCTAGGCTACATCCGACCGAGTACATTATTCACCGCCCGTCTCCGCCCGACGGGCTGGCTGGTTACGACCAGCTTTCTGCCTTTCTGGCCGAGCCAGAGGCAGGAGACCGACTAATTCGAGACTCGTGTACCAGTTGTCTCGTCGCAGCAATGTGGCCTTTCTACCTCATGGCGTGGATTGATGATGGCAAGGATGCTTGATGATGCTGAGAGGGACGACGAGGACGCTGACGAAGCAAGAGCTCAAGACGATGGACAAGGATAGGGTTGGGGAAACAAGAGCATCTCATAGATAACAGCTTAGTCTCCAAGCGTCTCGTTTTTGTATTGGCAATTACAGCAAGATAGTTGCGCAACACAGCAGGTGTAGCATCTCCGTCCAAACTATTTGGTAGCTTAGACCTTGAAGCCACGGCTCTTTCGGCGACCACGGGCCTTTTCGAACTTGCGACCCTTCGAGCGCACGTACGGCTTGACGTGGTCGTGCGTGTGGACCGAGTCGAGCGTCGAGGCGTGGCCGAAGTGGCGGTAGACCTCACGGGCCGTCTTGCGGCCGCGGAGGAGCACCGTGTTGGCACCCTTGGGCGCGCGGAGCGCGAGCTGGTCGAAGGTGAGGATTTCACCACCGGCGGCGAGGACGCGGGCGCGGGCACCCTCCGTGAAGCCGAGGGCGGCGATCGTGAGCTTCGGGACGTCGAAGAGGCGGATGTCGTCCGTGATCGTGCCAACGACAACGGCGATCTTGTCCTCCTTGTTCTTCATGTAGCGAGCGACACGGGCAATCGACATCGGCGGCTGGTTCGTGCGGCTCATATACAGGCGCTTCAAGACGACCTCGTTGAACTTGGCGTCCGTACGGCGGGCCAAGAAGCGGTAGAGCTAATCACAGTAGTGGCATCAGCGCCTGCCTGCGCACATATAGGGTGCTGCAATCGTCGTGTCGCGATCCTCCGGCGCCATGGCCGCCTGTAGCCTGCGAGCTGCATGGTGCCATGGCGGCGCGGCGGATCGCGGCAAGGCGCAACAGCTCGGAAAGCTAGGATGGACGTACGCGGACGAGAAGGTTGAGGTAGACGTTCTCGGACTTGGGGGCCGTGCGGGACTTGCGGCCCGTACTCTTGCCGCCAGCAATGATATCCTTACCCTATACAGCAGCGCAGGATGCATGAGGTCATCGTCGTCGTCCAAGCAGCATCTGCATACCATCTTAGTAGTGTTTTCTGCTAGTTAAACGGAGACTGAAAATGAAAGCGCTAGCGTACCGGTTGCGGGCCAAGAATGAACGCTGACCAATGAAATCGGCTTAAGACCTATCCCTCCAGCGCCAACCAGCGATTATCGCTCGCTTAAGTGCGCTTGGCACCCCGAGTTCATTTGATGTTTGTATGGGTTCTTGTAGCAAAGGCCGTCATCCGGACCCTCGTTAGTAGCGACCAATCCTCTCGGACTCGATGGGCATCCTGTGACACTGAATGCGGTGCCCAGGTATCGCAATTGCTGCAGGTAAATGCACGCAACTCGTCGCGGTGTGTCGGGTGTTGACACGGATCGCAACGAGACACAGCCATGTTGACGATAGTAGACGCTTGCAATAAGCGTTTTGTACAGCATAGTACGGTGGTTGCGTGCAAGGACGTGGCGCGCTACCGTCGACATTTAGTGGGCTGCGGGACGTGGACGCGTAAGGACGGTGTTTCTAGTCGTGCGGTGGGAGCTGTATAAAAGCAAATCTGTGGGAATTAAAATGGATTTCGTGATCGGTAAGGGTAGTGGACGACGCCGCATTAATTGCGGTCAATTAAATTTGGTGGCGCATTTTGGATGGGATTTTTATTTGGGCGTGTTGAGATCGCGCACGGAATGATGGGCAAGAGCATGCTGCTGCGGCGCCTCGCGCGTGGCCCGCCCCGGTACGCCCGCACCGTCACGCAGATGGCGACAAGCGCCGCTTCCACCGATGAGCTGCCAGTGTACCCATTCGATTCATATCCTTTTTCCTTGCCTCCGACGCCTGCCATCTCACCATGCATGGATCCTTGACACAGTCGTCGTCCTACGCACAAGTTTGTGACGCAGCTGCAGTACCAAGGTGCGCGGCGACACGTAGCTGTACATGGCACTCACGCGCATGGGCTAGGCTTCTCGGCGGAGCAGGCGGAGGCCGTCCTGGATGCGTTCAAGAGCACGATGGCCGAGAGCCTCGAGATGCAGCACACGGGGGTATGACGACTGCATATGGCTACAACAATGTGAATGGCGCATGTACTACTAGCTCGCGACCAAAGCCGACCATTTGACGCTCAAGTCGGAGCTCTCAGAGCGTGTCTTCAATACGACGCTCAAGTTTGGTATGCCCATGGAAGGATGCTGCGAGCATGAGGCGACAGGAATGTATGGTAGACATTGCGCAGCGCCACATGAAGGAGATTTTGGACCGCGACTTTAACAACCTCAAGCAGGAGATCCGCATCATCGAGAAGGGGGACTTTGACAAAGTGCTCGCCGAGATCATGCAAGTCGAGAAGAAGTTTATGCTGCACAAGCAGCAAAGCGACACGATCCTCAACAAGCTCACGCTCGCCAACGAGACGCTCGAGCGCCGCATCTTTCAATACGGTATGGACTATATCTCTATCCTATCCTATTTGCAAGCTATGGATACATGGCGTGTAGCGGTGCGCTTTGGCGCAGCCATCACGGTCGTCCTCGCGTTTCTCGGGACGTATTTTGAAAAGTCTTAAGTGAGATCGCACACACTGCTACTATTACCCACTGCGATTGCGTTTTACGTGGAAAGGACGCGGGTCATGGAGAGCGAGGTCATCGTCCTTCTCTACAACGTGGGCACGACCTCGCACGAGTCTCTCGCTATTGGCCAAACCTGCTGCGGTCGAGAATGCACGTACACATAGCTGACACAGAGTCCGAAGAGACCTCGAACAAACGATACTAAGTACAGTGTGGCGACGCGCTGACACCGAGTGCCCTTAACCCTCCCACGCTACAACTATCGAGTAGTAACCGCACCTACGAGGCACGGCTGGGATGCACTTTGCTAGGAAATCCAAGTGCATTTCGCTCTCGCTATGTGCTTGCAAGCACGTACAAGTACACTCTCGACGCCATGTTGACATTGTCCTATCGTGGACGTTGGAGAAGTTGTACATATTGTCATGTTTACTGCCATACCGTTAGCCTTTCGGTGCGCATACGTCGATGATTGTGGGTGCCGACTTTGCTATGGCGCGTGTGCCTCAACCGATGCAAGCTCGTCCACCTCGTCGATAATAGGAAGCAAGGATCTCTGCCGACGTACTCGCATCTTGCTCGAGCCAAGCGGTTGCGTGGACGAGTATCTTGTGGACGCCTTCTTCTTCTTCTGGTACGAGCTCGTGCAATACCAGCACATTGGGCGCGCAATTCTGGCTGCAGAGCATTTACGATAGGGATGATTATTGCTGCGTCATCCCAACACCGGACCTCATACAGAGAAAGCCCACGACCTGCCACGACCCTCGGGGCCTAACGTTGCCCCCTTGTTTGGCGCGATAGAAGAAGTCTCTGATGCGGTCATTGCACGCTACGTGCTCATTTTAGGCTATAAATGATGCATCCGAGTACGTGGCAATGGCCATGGGCAGCAGCTCTTAAGCGATCGCTTCACGTCGGTTCCGCATCCAACGATCTCAAATTGCCCTTTGATGGATGGCCATCACCCAATCATCCGGATAATCCAAATTATCCGGACATCATTTCCTCGGTCGTGACATGCTGCGCAGGTCGACCGGCCTCCATGCGCGGTCGCATGCGACGATCACCCCGCTCTTCACGCCCAAGGTCAAGAAGCATGATGCTGCGCTGAGCGCGCTCCAGGAGCAGGGTACATGGGCGCGTCGCGACGTCTGTGGCCTCATGGACGGGTAGGGTACTCGGGCCCGCAAGCGCAAGGCCTCGTCGATGCCATGGCGAGCGCCTTCAAAGAGTCGTACGACTCGCAGACGACGCTGGTAACGCGACAAGCAGCATGAGGTAGATGCTCAGGCGGTGGTAGCTCACGACCAAGGCCGAGAACAATGCGCTCAAGTCGGAGGTCTCGGAGCGGCTCTTCAACTCGACGCTCAAGTTTGGTATGTCAATCGCACGACCATGGCATCTTATTTGCGAGGTAGACATTGCGCAGCGCAGCATGCGGGAGCTGCTCGAGCGCGACTTCAAGACGCTCAAGCAGGACATCCAGATGATGGAGAAGCTCGACTTTGAGAATGTCCGGGCCGAGATCGCCGAGGTCGAGCAAAAGTTCATCCTGCAGCGCGAGAACAGTGACGAGATCCTCCACCAGCTCAACGTGGCGAGCCAGCGCCTCGAGAAGCGCATCTTGCAGTACGGTACGACCCTCATCCTCCTCATCTCTCTCGTCGACCGTCGCCCTTGACGCTATGTATGCATAGCCATCGGCTTTGGCACGACCATTTTTATTGTCATTGGCGTCCTCGGGTCGCTCGTCGTCAAGGCCTAGTAGGGTACGCGATGCTTCTTTTATACGGATCCCATGGATGTGTCAACCAACTATGCGACCACCTAGCCACAGCATGCTCGGCCCTGGCGGAGGAAAGGACGTGTCATACCTCTTGGGCGGGCAGCGTGTTCTCCGACGCTTCGTCGTCGCGCTTCTTGGTCGTCTCACGGTCCTACGCACCGTATTGGGTCTTGCAAGCGAGGGACGACGTACGTCGGGGCTCTTGACACGTTTGCGCTTGGATTGCTTGGACGACTCGTCCTTGGACTTGGCCAAAATGGGCTCGTGCATCTTCTCGTATTGCTCCTTGAGCGAGACATCGGCCTCGGACTCGGCCCAGATTTGCTCGAACGGCTTCTTGGCCGCGTTGATGTACATTTTGCGGTCGTACGCGCTCGAGACGAGCTGCTTCCATGTCGGGTCCTTGCACAGTGTGCGCGCGTGGCCTGCATACGACGACGACGACGACATGATCCTACTATACCAACCTCCGGCATCGCACCCAGGACAAAGCAGCAGTAGCGTGCACGGGTGAGGGCAACGTTGAGACGGCGAACGTCCTTGAGGAAACCCACGGCGCGCGTACGCACGCACGACATGATGATGATATCCTTCTCTCGACCCTATTCAGCCAGTCGACATACTACGCTCTGGCGACGGGATGGAAGACCTGGAAGCCGTCGACCGTGTTGACTTCGACATCGCTCCAGCCCTTGCCGCTCACAAGGTGGCGCAGCGTCATGACCTGCTCCTTGTACGGTGTCACAAAGCCGATGGACCACTCCTTGGTCTTCACGAGCTCGACCGTTGCCTTGAGGTGCTCAACCTACGTCGTCGATGCAACTCTGACGTCCAGTGCTTCGTGCGCTACCATAGCGATCCCAAATGCCGCTTCCGTGCTGTTGCATTTCGAGCCACCGGGCCCGTCGCGCTCGGCGCTCTCAATGTCGTAGAGCACGAACGGCTGGTAGCACGGGTGCTTGTACACTTGCATGCCCAGCGTATGGAGCCGCGTCGCAATGACGGGGCCGTCCGATAAGATGCCATTGTAAAAGGCCTTGGACGGGAACTCGCGCAAGAACGGGTGCATGCGGTATTGTACCTAGGCATCAAGATATCAAGCGTCAAGGTCTCGCTCACGCCGTCGTCGTACGCGCAGAATGGCCCGGGGCACCCCGCCGTCCGCGAGGCGCTCAAACATCGACCGGTTGAAGAGCGCATCTTGGGCCTCGACACTCTTGACGGTGGCCGGTAGCTGCTTGGGGTCGCCCACAAAGATGACGCGGGCGACGCGTTCCCGGAGTGGAATCAACGTGCTCGTTTCGACCGCTTGCGCCGCCTCGTCAATGATGACGGCATCAAACCTAGAACGACTCCTTATGACACACGAGCAAGTTATCGGGATACCCGCGAGGCACGTCGTCGAGGTCTCCACTGCCGCATTTCGAGAGCGTGCAGGCAATGATGTTGGCTTTGGCAAGGAGTGCATTCGCCGTCGTGCGTTCAAGCATCTGGACCTCTTCTTGAAGACGGCGCTTCTTGCCCGTTATCTCCGAGAGCTCGCGGTGCCACGCCGTCATGTCCTTCTTGGAGGCTGTCGGCGTCTCGCCGGCCTTGGCCTGCGTATGGAAGAGCTTGATCGAATCGCGCAATTCGGTGTGTCGCCGCGTGAGCGCTTGGAACGCTTGGTACTTGGGGTGCGTCTCGACTTGGACACGGACCACGTCGTTGAGGCAGCTCTGCTTGACGATCAACGGCGCATCTTCCGTCGCCGACCCGAGGCGAAGGAGCGAGATCGTATTGGCGTCGTCGCCCGAGACAGCGTGCACCTTGGGCGTTGAAACGAGGACGGGCTTGCCGTCGGGCCCGACAAGCCCGTCGGTCCGAAGCCGCAAAATGAGCTCGTCCACTGCGCCGTTGGACGGCGCGCAAATGAGAATGTGGTTCGTCTCCGGTCCCTTGTTGGCAATCGGAAGCACCGAGACGGTGCGCGGTCCCGACGCCGGGCGCGGCTTGAACATCGGGCGACCGGCCATGGCGCCTTCGAGGCGCTGGCGCGACATGCCCTTGTTCTTGATCTGCTGGATGCTCGTGGCCTTGACCGCCCCTGGCAGCGACGATGTGGACGCGCCCGAGAAGTCGACGAGCGCGGGCTTGACCACCATCATCGCCTTGCGCGGTGACGGCCGTTGGCGTTGGCAGCGAGATCGCAAGAAGACCGCTGATGATGCCCATGATGGTCTTGGTCTTGCCGGTCCCCGGCGGTCCCTGGAGCAAGCTCACGCCCGTCGAGTAGTTGTTGAGAATCGAGTGCACCGACTGGAGCTGGGATGCATTGTATGTCGTTTGCAGCTGGTCCCACACTGGCGGGGGCAAAAAGAGGGGCGTCGTCGAGAGCTCGTCCTAAGCAAAGTGATCGCCTATCATGTACCATACGAATCTCTCGTCGTGCACCTTGGTATCGAGCAGCTTTTGCCACTTGGCGATGAGCGCCGCGGCCCGCTGCACGACGTCGTTGCTGCCCTTGTACTTGCGCAGCTTGCGCACGACGACGCCAATGTTGGTCACCTAAAACCCATCCTAACGCTCTTGTACCCAACTGCTGTGTGCGTACGCGGAGGTCCTCGAGCTTCATCGGCAGGTCGTCTAGAATCCCAAGGTGGGCCATAAGCGTCTTGTCACCCTCGGTGCTCTACAGAGCCATTCAACGCCTGTGGTACGACGAGCAAAAGCGTACCGGCGCGTCCCGCAGCGTGTCAATATCCGAGATCAAGCCCAGCACGGTGCTCTGCGTGCTCTTGTACTTGTATGGCTGGAGCACGACCGAGCGCAGATGCAACGGAATAAAGTCGATGGCCATGAGCGCCAAGTACTCGCGCGCGCTCGTCGTGAGGTTGCCCACAACACGCACGTTCCACTCGGACCCGCCAATCAGCGTGTCGAGAAGCACGACCGGCATTTCCTTGTCGCTGGCCGTCAGCAAGAGCACGCGGACCTTGTCGTCGTTGGTGCCCTTTTTTCGAGAATTTATCGTCGTCCTCGGGCACGTAAACACCCGTGCACGCAATTTCAGCGTTCTACTTGGACATGAGATGTCCATTCTCGTCGCAAATGTCAATTGCACCAGCGTGGACGTGACGCGCACAACGTCATTCTTGCGAATGAGGCGCTTCATGGGCCGCTGCAGGTAGGCAAAGGTGACAACGCGGAGGTTTTCCTTCATCGTCTCGGTCTCGAGCCGGACACCCATCGTTGGGCCGTTGCCGCCAAAGCTAGTGTTTGGAATGGGCATGTCGGATGCTACACATATATGTACCCTTGGGCAATGTCGCACTGGACTTCTTCCAACAGCAGCGGCAAGAACGCGTGGCCGTACTCGATCGACGACGGAAACGAAATCGATGGCTTGGCGAGGTCGGCGCTCGTCGACGTCTTGAAGCGCGGGTCGATCTGAGACGCCAAGAGGATCTGGCGGTAGAACGGGTACAGCGACGACGGGTGCAATGGCTTGCGCATGCTGCGAATGTGTCGGATGGTCCCAATCATCTTGAGCACGGGCGCAGGCAGCGCGTCCTTTGGCGGCTTGGCGGCTTCCTTGGGCGGTGACGGCGCCGACGTCGAAGGGACTGTGGTGGTTGCTGCTGACGCGCCTCCAAAAGCCGGCTGGTACCCGAGCACCGAGACGGTGCGGCTCTTGGAGGGCTTGGCGCTGCCAGATATCGGCCCTTCCTTGGACGCTTGTTGCTCGCGACGCTTGCGAATGGCCTCGTAGTCGACGTCGTCGTAAAAGCTGTCGGTAGCCCGGGGCACCGCGGCCGACGCGCGGTCAAATGTCGTCGTCATCGGCTTCTTTGGGAGTCGCGCAAACGGAACGAGGGTCTTGAACGGGGACGGTCCATTGCTGGGTTTCGTGAGCTTGACTTTCCCAATGGCCGACGACGATATTTTCTTGGCTTTGGCGCGCTGGCGACGGGCCTCCTTCGAGTACCACGGCACCACGTCGTCGTCGCCGACCTAAACTCGTCCTCGGTGACGTCAATAATGTGCGCAGCACCCTCATCCTCATCGTCGTCCGAGTCGATGACAATGGCCTCTCGCTCGCGCGCTTGGCGCACCGACCGCTTGAGCTGCAACAGCGTCTCGAGGCTTAGCCGCAGCGCCGATAGCCCCGCCGTATCGCCAGCTTCAAACGACCACTTGGCCAAAACAGCGGCAATCTCGGCATCGAGTTTTGCGTCAAACACAAAGTCCGACGACCCGAGTTCTTGGGTGATGTAGCCGCAGAGGTCGACGACGCGGCGCTGGAGCGTCGGGTTGGGGTGGTGCGCCAGCTGCAAGAGCGGCAATAGGATGCGGTTAGCAGGGTAGTCCAAACACTCGTGCCGGTCGCCGTGGAAGACAAACCAGAGGCGCCACATGTAGCGCGCGAAGCGTAGCACGCGGACGCCGTACGCCTCGTTGTCGGTCGGCGACAGCTTCTCGAGCGCGTTCATGAGGAAGAGGTGCATGAGCAGCGGGAACCGCGTCAGATCCATCGCCGACGTGGCCGAGGACTGCGCTTTCCGCGACGAGGCTTTGGCTTTGGCGGCCTCTTTCACAATGCAGTTGTAGAGCACGTCGGGCAGCGACTCGAACGTGTGCGTCCAGTGCAAAAGCAGCTCCTTGACGCACGTCGGCTGGAGCCCATGTACGCGCAGATACATGAGCGTCGTCGCCACGCCGCGCAAGAACGACGGCATGTAGCTCGACACGAGGTTCTGGTACGGCTCGGTGAACGACGTGTAGCTCTTGTTGGCGACGCCGCCGCCGTGCATGATGAGCCTAACGCGATGTCGACGCGGACGCTTCGTAGAGAATCGTGTACCGTTTGATGCACGGGCGCAGACGCGGATGGGACGTGATGAGGCAGAGCGTCATGTGCTGGGCCACGATCGGCGTACGGAAGATGTTGCCGAGGCCCCGCTCCGTCGTCTCGATCGTCATGCGCTCGACGTACGGACAGAGCACGTCTTGGACCATCTCGAGACCCTCGATCGCGGCCGTCGCGTCGGCGGGCGGACGGCACGAAAGCTGCGCCGCGACACCCACCGTCTCGAACAGCACCGCGTGCACGACCAGCGGGATCTTCTCGACGTCGGTCCACGAACAGAGCGCTGTAAAGAGGTCGGAGACCCACGCAATGTCGCCGAGCCGGTCCGGTTGCATCATCCACGTGTCGCGCATGAGGTAGAGCTGCTTGCGCAAGACGAGCGCGACGGTTGTCGCGGCCGCATCCACGAGGCCCATGACACTCGACGTCTGGAGCGTCACCAAGAGAACGTCCATCCAATCGGAAGTAAAGCAGGACGCATTGCGTTCGTCCATTGGCGCGTCGTGCAGCGTGATGGGCCACCAAAACCGATGGCTCAGCGTGACAATGTCCAGCGTCTCGGTCTCGGGGAGCGCGCCGACATCGGCCGGCTTGGCGCCTGGCAGCGGCCGCACCAAGGACGACCGTGCCGTGTCGAACGACGCTTGAAGCACATCGCAGAGAACGCGCGTTACAGTCGTGCGCAAGACCGACTGCTCTGCGTACAGCGTGGGTGCATCGTGCAGCAAGAACGAGAGCAGTTGCCGGCGCACGTCAAAGTACAAATGCACGGCCTCGGACGCACTCTACGCAATGAGGCTTTAAATCGTTTTACAGAGAGAGACGTACGTCTTGGTGGGGCGGGCGCAACGACGTGAGCAGCGGATCGCAGAGCTCCAGGAGCGCTTTCACGACAAACTCGCGCCACGACGTGGTCCGACACTGGGCGTGGAGCATGTCCCAGACCGTCGCAGCATCATACGACGTGTGTTCCCAGAGCCGAAAGCGGAGGCTCTTCATGAGTACACCGTAGCAGCGCGCGACCTAGGAGGATCTCGCATGAGTTTGCATGCTTTATAATGCAAGAGGCGTACAACGAGGACGACGGGCGGCGGCGATTTCGGGTTGACGGGGTTGGCCTCTTGGAGAAAGGTAAAGACGAGGTCCGGCAAGTTGTCAAAGCGCCGCAAGAGCTCGGCGAGCATGTTTTCTTCCAGTGTCTACAGGAGGACGATCATTTTCTTCTTCTTGATCGAATATCGCACCTGGAAGAGCGCATCAAACGCAGCCCAGAGCACCTGCGGCGTCGGGGTCCGTGTGCACTGCGTGCTGTCCATAAACTGGCCAAAAATCCATATGACACAACCCACGACACGATGGAGCGTACCGCAGCGAGGTCGTACGCGGACGCGAGGTCCAACTCGAGCATGGACACGTTGTACTGCTGATTCTCGAGAAGGTACATCCACTCTTCGACGACCGAGACGATCGGTGACGTTGATTGCAGCTCGATGTGCCCGAGCTTGGAGAGGACGGTCGCACTCCACGCGCTAATGCGTCCTCATCGTCACCATCAAGACCGCAGCAAGGGAGAGAGCGCACCGAAGCACCGAGTCGGGACACATGAGCAGCATATACAGGCCAGGGCATTGCTTGAGCTTGTGCCAGTCGCAGAGCTCGAGGGCTTCGTCGGGCTTCTCTGCGATCCACTAGACACATTTGTAGTAAAACGCAAGGAATTGCGATGGTGTACCTTGTGCATGGGCTTGAGGAACCGAAAGTCGCGGAGGAGGCGCGGGTGCGTAAAGAGCTCATAGAGCCCCATCGTGAGCTCCTGCCCGCGTTGCTTCTTGACGAACGAGGTCGTGCTCCAAATGAGCTTGAGCCGCTCGACGTCAGCATCCACGAGGAGGCGGAGGAAGAGCTTCATGGACTCTTCCGTGTACAATGATGCAAGCTCGGTTTGCAGCGTCAAGAGCATCGCATGGTACCCGTCAATGCTAGAACGAGGACGACGATGAGCGAACGAATACAATGGGATCGCCGTCGTACCAGTCGGTGTAGCTGACCGTAGCTCTCGCGGATCCATGTGTCGATGTGATTGCCGGCCGCGCGCTTGTCCATGAGCTGCAGCATGAAGGCGCTGAGTTCCGGAAGCCGGCCATGGCACCACCAGTGGCCCTTGCCCTCGGCCTTGAGCTTGAAGAAGAAGGTCCCAACGCGGTTGAAGAGCTCCTTCCTCGCGGCTGGCGCGCTTACGCCGGCGAGCCCGAGTACCTCGTCCGCGAGCTCGGCGACCGTCGCCTCCATCTCCAGGTCGTTCCGGCGCTGCATGACGGCCTGGGGTTTCCCACCAAAATGCAATCTATTCCCAGGCCGATCTTTTCAGCCAATCCCAGCCGCTCAACGACGGAATTCGACATTTTAGCCAATCCGCATCGCGTATTTCCCAGCAACCAATCGCCCGTTGAGAAATAAGCCCACTTTGCACAATAAGTTCTGATGGCCACGGGTGCCAAGGGTGCCAGGCCGAGCCAACGACGACGAGGCTGCATCGAGGTGTCGTCATGCTGCTTGGCACCAGAGCCTTGCACTGGTGGTGGACCCGCCAGCTAGCGACGAGCGCGGGCGGGTGTCGAGCCCACTAGTATCGAGAGGCAATCGCATTGGATTATCACGTTACGCACGATGCAAGCATATACAAGTGGACAAGGGTCTGGAGAGGCACGAGGCGCAGCTTCTTAGACCAACACTTCGGCGTCCGCGTCTTCGTCCTGCACCTTGACAGCCGTGACCTCGTCGACAGCCTCGTCCTGCAAGACCGAGGCCACCACCGGCGTGCGGCTCTTCTTGGTCGCAAGCACCGCCGCCGCGATCGCCACGACAAGCGCCGCACAGGCGACGGCAGCAGCAGCAATGTTCGCGACACCGACGCTGGCGGACGCAGCGCCGGCGCTTTGGACCGAAGCAAAGTTCGACACAGCCGCCGGGGCATCCGTGGGGGCGTCGGTCGTCGGGGCATCCGTGGTGGCATCGGCGACAGCGTCCGTGGGAGCGGCGGTGACTTCGTCCGACTCGGTCGCGGCGGTCGTCGGGGCATCCGTGAGAGCGTCCGTGGCAGCGTCCGTGGAAGCGTCCGTGGGAGCGTCCGTGACTTCATCCGATTCGGCCGTGGCAGTGGTCGGGTCATCACTGGAATCTTCATCGTCGTTCGAATCGTCTGTCGGCTCATCCGTGACCTCATCCGACTCGGTCGTGGCAGTGGTCGGGCCGTCTGTAGCTTCGGCGGGAGCATCAGTGGGAGCATCAGTCGGCTCCTCCGTGCGAGTCTCAGACGTTGCCGCGTCTTCGTTGGCGCTGGCCGTCACCTCAGTGGGGGCGTCAGTCGGGGCATCCGTGGGAGCATCGGTTTCGGCGTCGGTGGGAGCGTCGGTAGGAGCATCAGTGACCTCGTCCGACTCAGTCGAAGCCGTCGTTGGCGCATCCGTAGCAGCCTCCGTGGGAGCGTCCGTGGGAGCATCCGTGGGAGCATCAGTGACCTCGTCCGACTCGGTCGAAGCTGTCGTCGGCGCATCGGTGGGAGTATCGGTGAGGGCTTCAGTCGGCTCCTCCGTGCGAGTCTCGGACGTCGGCGCAGCTTCGTTGCCGCTAGCAAGCGTCTGCGAAGCAATCGGAACGCACCCAAATGCTCCATTGCCAAGATCCGAGCATTCCGTGTCAACCGGCAGCGAGCACGTCTTTGTGATCGGGTCGTAGGACGGGATGCCTGGCACGCAGTCGGCGGTGGCTGTCGCATACGCCAAGGGGCAGACACCAGCCTTCGATGAGCCCGAGCACCCGTTGCCCTTGATGCAGTACGTGGCGTCGCCGAGGACGCTAACCTCCGTATCCGTGCACCCAGCTGTCGGGAGAGAGCCCGACTCATCAGTTGGGGTCGTCGGGGTCGTCGGGGTGGGCGTCTCCAACACGCAGCCGAAGGCGCCGTTGCCAAGGTCCGTGCACGTCGCGTCGGCCGGCAGCGAGCACGACAGCGTCAACGGGTCAAACGACGGGATGCCCGGCACACAGTCGGCAAAGGGCGCAGAGCTCACCGAGGGGCACACACCTGCCTTTGACGAGCCCGAGCACACGTCGCCTTGGATGCAGTACGTGGCGTCGCCGAGGACACTGACTTGTGTACCGTCGCACTCCGCCGCCTGCTTGGCGCTCTTCGTAAGCTTCTTGGCGGCCTTAGCGACCTTGGCAGCCTTCTGGACGTTGGCGTGCATGGCGTGCTTGGGCTGCGCATGGGCCGCGCGGTTGTGGCGCAGGGCGTGGGCGCCGACGGGCGCCGCGTCGGCGTGGAGGGCGAGGATGACGGCGCAGACGCAGACGATGATCGACTTCTTCGAGAACATGGTGCTGCTGCGGAGGTCGAGCGAAAATGGGAAATGAAAATGAATTGCCACCGCGTTTGCAGGAAGATCGCTCGGACGAGGAATCTTTGGTGGAAGCCAATCAAATCGCTGGAGGTGTCGCATCTTTTGCGCAGGCCAATCACAGGGCAGGCAAGGGAAACCACTGCGCGCGGATTGGCTGGAATCGCAACGACCGACCTAGGCGACATCGTCCAAGAAAGATCGCAATAGGATCTCTGCCGTCGTAGAATACCAACTATAAGACCTGAATCGCGACAGAGTTGAACTACTGCGAACTGTCGACATGGCTACTTGGCGTTATGGAAGCTTCTACTTTGCCAGCTTTGCATCGAATTCCGGACCACCCATCCATCTACATACTTTATCAAGGCCATGGATATATGAGCAGTACCGACGGAGCCATTGACTCGCCATTCAATCCGCGTTGTTACCCGCTTGCCTGATCTAGAGTACCAGACAATAATGCAGAAGACGCTCATAGTTTTGCTCAAGAGACGAAAAGAAGTCGCAGAGACGTCCAATTTGTCATGCGCCAGGCAAGCAACAGAGAATGGCAATCTTCCGCAAACTATCCACATCGTGCTTTGCAACGTTAGAGCTGAATCAATAGGGCTGAATACGTCGCTGTTTACTTGATCATTATGTCCCGGCAAGGATATTATGTGATGCGGAATACTCCTTATCTGTTGGTCCACGTAATCGCTCTGAGGATATGTTATCGGCTCGTCGTTCGATGATACAAGTGTTAGCTGTAGCCAGCTCTATGTGGTGGTGCTCGGTTATCGTAGCAAGCTCTGCAAACTCGTCTCTCGCTGCGCCTCCATGTAAAGAAAGGTGTAGAAATGTAAACTCAAGCTCTCACTTTTAGCCCTGGGGTCCGCCACCAAATGTGTACCAACAACCTGTGGCTCTTCCTGTACCAACAATTCTTCAAGTTACTCGGTGCAATTTGTGTCAATCAGCATGATTGATTAACGGGTTACGAACTCAATGCAAGTATACAAATGGAACGAGAGAGACGCGCGGCACAGTGGCAGAGGCACTTAGCACTCCAACACCTCGACGGCCACATCGTCGTCCTGCTCCTTGACAGCCGTGACCTCGTCGACAGCAATCTCGTCCTGCAAGACCGAGGCCACCGCCGGCGCGCGGCTCTTCTTGGTCGCGAGCACCGCCGCCGCGATCGCCACGACAAGCGCCGCGCAGGCGACGGCAGCAGCAGCAATGTTCACGACACCGACGCTGGCGGACGCCGCGCCGGCGCTCTGGACCGAAGCAAAGTTTGACACAGCCGCCGGGGCATCCGTGGGGGCGTCGGTCGTCGGGGGCATCCGTGGTGGCGTCGGCGACAACGTCCGTGGGAGCATCAGTAACCTCGTCCGACTCGGTCGCGGCGGTCGTCGGGGCGTCGGTGGCAGCGTCCGTGGGGGGCATCGGTAGGAGCGTCCGTGGCGGCATCCGTGGGAGCATCAGTGACCTCGTCCGACTCGGTCGAAGCCGTCGTCGGCGCATCGGTGGGGGCGTCGGTGGGAGCGTCGGTGGTGGCTTCAGTCGGCTCCTCCGTGCGCGTCTCGTCGGTAACG